GCCTCTGAGTAGGAGCTATCGAGGGGTTAGCCGTGACTTTCAAAAAGCCGTGATATATATTTTCCCAGAGAGAAAATGTGTGATACGTTTTCTGCACTCAACAACTTTGCAGTCATTACGAGACGTATTGTATGATAGGAACAGATAGTGAGTGATAGTAAAGTTGCCTTTTCTACAAACTTTATATCACAGCTAACGATAGGATACAACTCATCAGTTAAGTGGGGAAACGTATGACAGTATATGTCATGATTAGAAATCACTGAATCGATGTGAATCATTAAGTATTCATTACTAGCTTATTAAGTGTAAAGTAATCTATAGAGCCTGCATAGCTCAGTAGGTAGAGCGTTCGCCCAGTATCTCAAATGCCTTGAGTTCGATTCCCGGTTGTCAAACTTTTTTGCATTTTTGCATTGATGTAATCATCTACCTATGAGTGTTAATAGTCACACACATGTATGTATTTATAATTAGACATGTAGGTGCAAATTATATCAAGGGTGCTGTTAGTGATTCTGGGCACTAGAAATGGAACATTTAGGGGTGATTGTGAGCCCCCAGGTCCTTACAGTGTAAGTTATTATACAATTCTAGTATCATATGGAACAATAACTCATTAAAATACTTTTAGCTCAACTCTTCACTTCATAATAACATAAAATTTGTTATAATTTGTTTGTTTTATTTAATGACTTTAAAGATATAATAATTGCATAAAAGGGTTATATTTGCTTAAAAGTGTTTGTTTTGAAATATCCTTGACTTTTAAAACCTATTTATTAATTTTTTATATTTTTATCAAACTTTTATTTAGGCAATGTTTTTGAGAGTTTGAATATCACGTTATTTTTATCAAATCTCAAATCTATGCATAAATATGATATGAAATGACAATTTTGTAATGTTTTATTATACAATGAAATGTTAAATATTACTAAATGTTGTAATTATTATTAATTTTTATATAATTGTAATCAGTTTAATAAGTCATAACTTTTAAGTGCCTTCACTTAAAAGCATTGCAAACACCGGTCTGTTTGACTGTCCAATGCATGTGTATTACAGAATGAGATGTTTTATTTCAAAGTTATCATGAGCATTTCTCTATTATTAAGTATAAAATATAATTATTACCACTTCTTTGTTTATATTAACCGAATAATATGCCAATAAAACTAAAACAACAACTAATTTATATAAAAATATTTATCGTTTAATGTAAAATATAAAGTACAGTACAGTTGTGTTGTAACAATTGTTAAATCAGAATATACTGCACACAGTATTGTATTCATATTTTATTTACCATTTGGTTCTTTAGTATCTATGGATAAAAGCAATATAATGTAAAATATAAAGTACAGTACAGTTGTGTTGTAACAATTGTTAAATCAGAATATACTGCACACAGTATTGTATTCATATTTTATTTACCATTTGGTTCTTTAGTATCTATGGATAAAAGCAATAAAATTTATGAATGCAATTGCAGTGCGGAATAACACATGTATGGTATATAAAGGGCTATTTCAGGTGTTTTGTTGAGAAAATTAACGAAATGTATGCGAAAAAGATTTTCAAAACGATTTTCAGTGCTATTCTTACGCTGTTTTTGATAGGAATAGTGTTTAGCGATGAGAATCATAAGAAAAGTTACAAAACACCGAAAGCGTGTGGAAATACAAAACCAATTCTCTATAAAGAGAGTGACAAAAGTCACCGAATGGTTGAAATAATATATCAAAACAATGCAATTATCGACTGCTATCTGTATGGAGACAAACGACTGGCAGAGAATGCGATCGCAAACAAGTTATGCAAACCTAAAGTACAGTTTGTCGAACCGAAAGCGTTGTCATCCGTTGCCCTCCAATGCTCTCAATGGTTGTCACGACAGATAAGAAAAGGAGAGATCCCTTCCTATTCTGACGAAGACTTTCCCGACGAATACAACAATAAAATTGATAGAAATTTTTTCGAAGGAATTCTTGTATGAATTTTGATTTCATTGCACAACAAATTGAATACAATTTGAATACAAAATATGACAGATATTTCCGGGAACCAAATGGTGCGGCGCTGGAGATATTGCAGAACACGAACACGATTTTGGCTCAGAAAAGGAGACGGGTATTCATTATATACATTGTATGCAATCTAATCATTATTAATATTAATTCTCATTAGACAAGTGCTGTCGTCAACACGATTATTGTTTTGATTCAATCGAAAGCAAAGGCACTAAATATAATCTCACGAATAAAGCTATTCATACAAAGTATTGAATTATAAAACTGTTGAATATTATGCAAATTTCATTGTTTCCCGTTTTAGAAGTCATTGTCTTTGTGACCAAGAATTCACCGAATGCCTCAAATCTGTGGACAAATTAATATCCAAAAGTATAGCAAAGCTTTACTTTAATTTAATTCAAGTGCAATGTTTCAAAAGAGATCACCCAATCATTGAGTGCTTGGAATATAAAGGGTTTGTTATTTACTAATTGCTAATTAAGACTAAAAAATAATATTAAAAATATTTTCAACAGAATCCCATTATTTTGGAGTAGTTGTCAAAAATACGAATTGGATTTTACGAAAGCCATTATCTATCAGTTTTTTGACGCAAAATTTGTCGATTGGTTTTGAAAATGTAAATACAAACAACAAAAGTACTGTATTATAAAGTACTATAAAAATCACTATTAATTTATTCACTCATTTTAATTGACAAATAAACGTATTATAAATAAAAGTGTAATAATTATCTTTGAGCATAATGTATTGCTTCGAACACAACCTATAAACGAGATAACAATATCAAATTAGAGACCGATTTAGTAAACAATATGTGTTGGTGTTAGACCTCAACCACGATGAGAACGATGATCATCCACTCAAGCTTTGCGCTGTGGCTATGATTCAGATTATTGGACAATAACTCCATTAATTCTATGCAATGATTGAGCTTTTCGTTCAAAACATTAGTCCGTTTCTTAATATTCAAGAAATAGATTGTGTCCACAAACAGACGCTCGAGTTCTTGTCGATCCCAATAGAAGTCCGGCGTATCCAACAGATCAGAGCTTAAGTTGATTCGGTGTTTCAGATCAAACAACTCTCCAGTCTTGCGGAACACCTGATCCCGACTTAGTTTCAGTTTCGACTCTTTCATATCCTAATCACACAAAACAAACACTTATTGTAATTGTGAGCTAAGAATACAGTGTATACTTCAATACTTGGCTCACAAACTCAATGCTCTGAATATACCGCTCCATCAGTGACTCCCAAATCGATAACTTAACTAATTGTTCATTAATTTAAATAAATAGTTATTATTTATGGCAATCAAAGCCAAAACAACTGACCGGAGNGCTAAGAATACAGTGTATACTTCAATACTTGGCTCACAAACTCAATGCTCTGAATATACCGCTCCATCAGTGACTCCCAAATCGATAACTTAACTAATTGTTCATTAATTTAAATAAATAGTTATTATTTATGGCAATCAAAGCCAAAACAACTGACCGGAGAGTGCGATCGCATCAGAGAAGGTATATCTTTCTAAATCAGTTTCGATTCCCTTATTATTATTAGTCAAATGTATTAAACCCTTTTGTAGTCTTGATTTTGTGCTAAATATTCATCAAATATAGCAAATTTCAATTAATGGACACATATTTGTGGGATGTGTTCGTAACTGAGTGCATTGGTTGACCATCACGTAATAGAGGACAAGAAGCAGTTGTTATGAAACTAGCATTCCTAACAGAAGCATAACAAACTATTTAAACTCTTAGCGAAGCGTGACTTGCTGTGTTAAAGTGATTAACAAACTGCTTGTCAATTGTCTCAAATATCAACACAACAATTACCTCAACGAACGGCATATTCCAACAGACAATAGATCCATGTCTTCGCCATTGTATGCAATAAATAAATTGTCAAAAATAAAATACAATTTAATGATAAATACCTGAAGACAAAGAACTCTCTGCGGATATTATTGATCTCATATTTGGCCCGAAAGTGAAGCACATCATCGGTTTCGCCGTCGAATGGCATCAAATCATACAAACCCTGCCCTTTGAGACCGTTGGCCAACTCTTCGAAGTCGTATTCTTCGGCAGTACTGAAGGCAAGGATTGGCGAAAGTGTGTCGGCGTTTACGTCAACCATTGCCCGCTTCCTTGGGATTCGTTTCTTGGACTTCGATGACTGCACTTCATTGTCGCTCAATGTGTTCAATGGTTGGGCTTTAGTGTCAGTCTTTGCGGTTGAATAGTGTTTGGATAATGCAATTGAAGGCAACCATAAGTGCTTTGAATTCAATTGATTGTCATTTTTCACTAAAAAACCATAACTTCTATTGAATTGAGTTTTGTTTAAAACTTTCAATTCATTAGTAAATAGTTTTCTCATATAATTATAGCCATTATATGAATGAAATGCTTTCAATACGCGATTCATTGCTTTAATTCACAACACATTTGCAAACAATTGCTT